GGAGAGGAGGAAACAGCTTCTACACAGCTGCCTCCAGTTCAACCAACAAGCTGCAGGACCTGCTCCTGATTGGAGGAGAGCAGCGTACTCGGCGTGTGGGTAGCAGAGTTGGGATTGGTGGAAGAGGACTATAAAGGAGGAGAGAGATGCCATGCACCAGGAACACCTGAGGAACATCTGAGCAGCCCCCGAGAGAGCCGGCCGGCGGTGTGCCGCTCCCCTGCAGAAGTGGGGAAAGTGGCTAGGGGGAACCGCCCTTCCACGGAGGTGGAAGGGACGGTAGCCAACCCGGGAAGAACCAGCAGCAAACCCGGGGAGGGCCGAGCAGACCAAAGAACAGCGCAGGGTCCTGTGTCGTTCCTCCACGAAGACGGGGAGTGACAGGACCAGTGTTGTGTCGTAGCAGGTAAAGGTGCCACCTATAGTGCTGGTTTATGTCCCAGCTGCTCCACTTCCAATTCAGCTCCCTGCTAAAAGCCTGGGAAAATCAGCAGAAGATGGCCCAAGTCCTTGGGCCCCTGCCTCCCACATGGGAGACCCGGATGAAGCTCCTGGCTCCTGGCTTCTTCCTGGCCCTGTCCTGACCATTTCGGCCATCTGGGCAATGAACCAGGGGATAGATCTTTCTCTCTCTCTCTCTCTCTCTCTTTCTCTCTTCCCCTTTTTTCTCTGTAACTCTGACTTTCAAAATAAATAACATTTTTAAAAGTCTACATTTAAAAAAATAAAAAATTCAATTACTAATTTTTAAAAATATTTATTTATTTATTTATTTGAAAGTCAGAGTTACACAGAGAGAGAAGACGCAGAGCAAACAAAAGAGAGGTCTTCCATCCACTGGTTCACTCTTCAACTGGCCCAACAGCCGGAGCTGAGCCGATCCGAAGCCAGGAGCCAGGAGCTTCCTCTGGGTCTCTCACACGGGTGCAGGGGCCCAAGGATGTGGGCCATCTTCTACTGCCTTCCCAGGCCACAGCAGACAGCTGGATCGGCAGTGGAGCAGCCAGGACTCGAACCAGCACCCATATGGGCACCCTCCCACAGTCCACCTGTTGGTGTATTGTGACCCTGGGGAGCAAGGGCCTGCAGGGGCAGGAGGCTCCACCCAACATAGAGCCTGAGGGTTGCTCCCTCACCCTGGGGCTCAACGTATGGTGACAGGTGGATGCCTACAGAGCCTCAGCTGTGTGAAGCTCACAGCTGATAATGTCGATTGGAGCTAAATGAACCCTCCTTGACAAAGAGGACGCGCAGCCTGAAAAGACCTACACAGAAACAAGACAAGAGAGGTGCTCCTCCCGATTTGAAGACTGAGTTTCGTCCGCCATGGTGCAGAGGGAGAACGAGCATCGCTGGCGGGCGCTGCTGCAGAGGTTGCCGAAAGTGAATCCTTGGGGCCTGCGCTGTGGTGTAGCGGGTAAAGCTGCTGCCTGCAGTGCCAGCATCCCATATGGGCGCCGGTTCAAGTCCTGGCTGCTCCACTTCCGATCCAGCTCTCTGCTATGGCCTGGGAAAGCAGTAGAAGATGGCCCAAGCTCTTGAGCCTCCGCACCCACGTGGGAGACCTGGAAGAAGCTCCTGGCTCCTGGCTTCGGATTGGCTCAGCTCCGGCCATTTCGGCCATCTGGGGAGTGAACCAGCAGATGGAAAACCTCTCTCTCTCCCTCTCCCTCTCCCTCTCCCACTCCCTCTCCCTCTCCCTCTCCCTCTCTCACTCTGACTTTCAAATCAATAAATAAATCTTTTTTTTTTAATTAACTCTTTCTGCATTGTGGTCAAGGTGAAGTTTGGTCACCAGGGATGGAACTTTGGGGTGGGAACGTGATACCATAGAGCACTGGGAAACGGGTTCCATTGTCACACAAGTTCGTTGTTGAAAACCTCCTGTATTCCAGGATCTTTCAGAGCTACACTTCAGACAATGAACCAAAAAAGACCATTTTAACTTGTTTGAAAATCTCCTAAATGAAGAGTTTGAGTGGGTTTTAACTGCATTTGCTGAAAGTATTAAAATGCAACATGTTCCAATTTCTCTGTAAGAACGGCTGATTGACGTGAGAGAAGATGGAAATTCGCAAGCCAATTTTGAACAAACTCTTTGCATAATTGGTGGATGGAACTGAAAATTAATGTCACGATTTAACGAGCTGGGCCCACAATGCACCTCGGCCATTTGGATGTAGGTATCTTTGTGAATCTTTGAGAAGGCTCCTTTTTGGCTGTGACAGCCGTTCCAACTGAAAATTGAAGTAAACCAGATTTAGAATAAGCCACTCAAATCTCTGTCCCACCAAGTGTTAAGACCAGGATTTTCAAAAATAAACAAGCATATTCAATCACATTGCTCTCACCGTGAGAGCAGAAAGGGGCTTTTATTAAATGAAATGCCACAAAAATTACATCTGCATAGCATTCATTTTATACTTACTCTTTCGTTTCCATGGATGGCTTTATAATCCACATAATATATGGGATTTATACATATAGGGATAATGTGCATAGTCTGTTTCGTAACGAACATATATTTTTACATTGTAAGCATGAATGTATATTCACGTATGTAGCTCCTGCGTGTAATTTATCTATGGAGGTGGTTTATGGATAAACGGACGTCAGGGTGCCCAGTCGATGTTTTCTGCCAATGATATGTGTGGACAACGAAGTCCGCGCCCGAGGCCGCGGTGGGGTGTGGCAGGCTCCTGGGGCCATCTGCTGGGTGTGGGCATTCACAGAAACACTACATTGGGCCTCCCTGGCCCTGCGGGCGCAAGGGGTCAGCTAGCGTTTTGGGCACGTGCATTTCATAGCTAGAGGGTCAGAAGTCAAAAGAAGGCAAACTAGGCCGGGAGAGCAGTCCCATAATCTCGAGCCCTGGAATGAGAAGGGGCCTCCTTCCGTCCCCCCTTGCCGCTCCCTGCCAGCAGGAGCAAGCAGAGGGCTTCCCCTCGGCTCAGAGGGACCTCAGAGGGCATCGGGAGGGTAGCTGTCTCCCGGCACGTGCCTGCAGATGAGCAGGCGAGCTGGGAGTGTGAACTGGGACATTCACAGCACCCACTCCGCCTTCCACCTGCTCTGCTCCTTCTGCACCTCGACGCACAGCCTGGGTTTTAGTGACCAGAATTCCCTATTGGAAAGTCCTTCCTGCTATCCCGCACAGGTGTGCGTGCCGCAAATAAAGCTTAGAATGTTCCAGAAGCTGAACCTCCAGGTCAGTGGAAAGAACGTCTCTCCCCAGAAGAGTCCCAGAGAGAGGTAAGGCTGCCCTCTGCTACCCTCTCAGGCACTGAGCATCCCTCCGACGTCACTCCCTCCCACAGGCTTTCCCATTATCTCCAGTGCCCAGGGCAGACACTCCAGGCTGCGTAGACCCAACCTCCACAGCCTTCGCCCAGCAGCCCAGCCCCTCCGCATCAGTTGCCTGTGGGCAGCCGAAGCTACTGGAGCAAACCTGAGCAGGAAGCAGCCTCACGCGGGGATTCCTCAGAAGGGCTCCAGAAGCCAGCTGCCCTGCAGAAATGGCTCCCAGGAAAAACGAGGCTCAAATGACCCACCACGGGGGCCCTGCCCCCGAAGAGCTGCTGCAGCGACTGCCTTTGTTGCCAGCCCCAGGGGAGGTGGCCAGGGCCACCGCCGGAGCTGCTACAAGCCTGGCTTGAACCTCACCTCTCTATGACCTGCACCTTGCCCCCGAGAACCTCAGCAGCCACCCCCGGCACCCACTGCCAGTCTCAGCGGCAGCCTAGGAGGAAACCGCCAGGTGTAGCCCCGCCCAGCTGCCAGCAGTGTCCACCCCAAGGGGGAGAATCCGTTCTCTCTAGCTGTCTGGACCCCCAGAGACATCTCTCAAGGCCACCAGCAAGAAGGGTCACCTGGTAGAATTCTGCAGATTCTGCGCACCCTCCTGCACAGCACTGCTTCTCATTCCCTGGGAAACCACAAGGCATCAAAACCCGAAGTCCGCGGTGGGCTTTGGTGCAGCAGCGAAGATGCCACTTGGAACAGCCGCGTCCTGTATCACAGTGCCTGGGTTCCAGTCCCGGCTCCACTTTCTACTGACATGCATCCTGGGAGACAGCAGGTGATGGCCCAGGTACCTGCGTCCCTGCCCACCCCCATGGGACACTCAGACGGCGTTCCAGGCTCCTGGCTTCCGCCTAGCCTAGCCCCAGCTATTGAGGGCATTTGGGGAGTGAACCAGCAGATGGAGATGCCCTCTCTATCCTTTTCAAATAAATAAAAACAAATAAATGAAGCCCTAAGGCAACCCCCCACTGAGATGCACCTGCTGGGACTGGAGACTGGCAGCTGTCTCACTTCAGAACAAGCTGCCCAGATGGGGCCCTGCCTCCGGGGCTGCCCCCGCTCCTGTTCATGGCTGGACATCTAGAAGCCCTCGTCCAGAAGAGGGAGGAAGTTAGAGCCTCCCCACTCACACACCCAGCCTCCACGCTGGGACACAGAGGGGCGGTGGAGAGGGGCAGCCAGTGAGGGAGCGAGGGAGGGAGGCGGGGCTGCAGCCCCTTCTCGAAGCCTCCTCCCTCCCAGTCAAGTGCCAAGGTAGAGATGTTTCTATACAGGAAGAAAAAAAGAAAGACGGGAGCTGTGGCCAGCCTGGCTTCCCAGGGGCCCTACCTGTGCCTGCACAGTGTGACCCGGTCCACACACACCGGAGGGGTGGCGGGAGGGTCTCCTGTCCACTGGCTGCCTGCTTTGCCAAAAGCCAAGGTCCTCCCCTCTGTGCCAGCTCTGCCAAACCACGGCGAGAGGCAGGCCCGAAGCACACCTTGGTCCCAGCAACGCCCTGTCCAAGACAGGGCCCCGGACCACATGGTGTGCTGGGAAGACGCAGCAGGGAACGTGGGAGCCCCTAACGCACATCGGGCCCCAGCACCACCCAAAGCCGTCCCTGCCAGCCCCACCTGAGCGAGTCTGCACACAGCAGAGGCGGGGCCAGCCACTGTCAAGGCCACGTGTTGGGCCTGAGGGGCGGGGGAGGGCGGGCTGCTCTTAAGGCAGGTCCGGGAGGTGAGCAGGCGCCACCCTTTGCTTCTCACCTGGATCCCAGGAGCTGCCGGCTCGCCCGCCCGAGCACAGCAGGTAGGTGACCTTGCTCTTGAAGGGGAGCTGAGGAAGGTGCAGCCCCTTCGCGTCTTCAGCGTCTCCACCTCGCCTCCTGGCCCAGGGACAAGGCACGGAGACCCAAAAGGAAGCTGTAGAGGGGACAGGGAGGGGCTCAGAGGGACAGGGTCACGGACGCCAGAGCTCAGCACTTTCAGGGAGCTAAATCTGCACCCCGTGGCGTAGAAATGAAAGAACTCATCCAGGCAGGGGAAGAAGCTCGGCCAAGGTCATCTGGACCTGGGGAGGGGCTGGACATAGAACCCGGGTCTCCCGGCCCTGCAGGTCCTGCCTCCCTGGGCTCAGGGCCCATCGGGAGCCAGGTGCCGAGGTCACAGCAGAGTAAGGACTGGGCTGCCCAGACAGAGCGCTGTGGGGGAGACACGGGCTGCCCCCTCCCTCCACTGGCCCTGGCTTACAGCAGGGTAAAGAGTGGTGGAGCAGACAGGGGGACCTGCCCAGATTCCAGGATTGCCCTGCCTCCGGAGTCCTGGAGATCTAAGACACAAACCTGAGTCTGAATTTGAATGGGGATGGGTGGGAGGACTCACAGACAGGGCTGAGCTGGCTGGATCCCTCCTGAAACCCTCTCCACGCCCAGGGCACACTCTGAGGGCCTCCTGCCCTGTGCTTCACCCCCGGGGCCTTAAATCTGCCACGCGGCAGGGTGAGATTAAAGTGTGGGGCCATGAGACCAAGACCACAGGGCTCAAACCCCAGTCCAAACCCACTTGCCGATCCACGCGTGACCTGGGGCGAATCCCCAAATCACTCAACCACAAGGTAATAACACCGGTTAATAGTTCCCTGCCACAGAACTGTCGAGAAAATGAGTTCAGTCTTAGGTGTCTGTTATTATCAGATGCCCATTACACAGATGGGACAATGGAGGCCTGCCTGGAGAGGAAAGGACACTTGCCCAGGGTGACACAGGAGTGGTATCCAAGTCAGTAACTGGGCATACAGGGTCCTGGGACTGGGCGGGGGAGGGCTCTCTCCCCCAAGTGCACTCTGCAGAGTCAGTAACCCCACACTCCTCTGTGAGCCCAGCCAGGAAACCCCGCGGGGTGAGCCCCGATCCTGTCCCAACAAACCCAGGACATTTGAAGCCCCGTATGGAAAAAGCCACGGCCCCAGCTCTGTGTCCTCGCCTGCCCCCAGGAAGGAGCTCAGAGGCCAGCTCCTTCCACTGCCATTTATAGACACGCGTGCTGAGCCCGGGATGCACCGCCCCCTCCAGGACCCGGCCAGGGAGCAGCCTGGCTGCCGGCCCTGCGGAAGCCCAGGGAGGGAAAGCAGGAGAGAGAGAGGACCTGGGTTTTCTCATGAACAGACTCTGCCATCTTGGACAGTCAGAAGCCCTTGTGGCAACAGGAGTTAAGATGCCAGGGTCCCCGGGCCCAGGTTTGAACCCCAGCTCCACCACGTCTCTGGATGTGCAGTCTGTGCAGGCTTCCCCACCTTTCTCAGCCTCAGTATCTCCCTCTGTAAAATGGACTGATCCCAGGTTTCCGAACATAGCTCGAATATCCACGGAGCGGCTCAGGGGCTGGCTTGCGCTCCCGCAGCATTCAGAATTGTCCGACTGCTTCCCCACGCAGCACCCCAGCGGATCCACACTGTCCAGGACTGGGCAGGCCAGGGTCTTGCTGCTGTCTCACAGATGAGGAACACGAGGGTCAGGGTCACCCTGTAAGGAGCTGTTCCCGCTGAGATTCAAACCTGAACCTTGGGCTTGCAGAGGCCAAGGTCACTCCTCATGCCCCAGGCTGGTGTCCTGCCCTAGGGTCCCAACGTGAAGCAGGCTGCAGGAGGACAAGGCTTGGAAGCAGGCAAAAGCAGAGAGTGGGCGGGGCAGGGACTGGTGGGGGCAGGTGGGCAGCAAGGCTCCGGGCCAGGGGGCGGGGCCGCCGGCACGACCCAGCCATCCCAGCCCCAGGCGGGCTGGGCCCCACAACCTCTCACCTCCGATCCAGCCCCACGTGTAAGAAACGAGCTGGTGGCGCTAAGGTTAGACAACAGGAGGAACTTTCCATACTGAGGGAGATGAGGAAGTTAAGACACTAATTCCTGCATAAGCCCCCAGGGAATGAATGCCATGTGCTGATGTCACGACGCTAAACCTCTCTGTGGCTCCCCACTGCCCTCAGGGGTGAGTGGCTTTGTGGGGTCTGCCCTCCCCAGCACTCCCTCCACCCACCCAGACACTCTGATGCCTTCTCTCTCCTCTAGTATCCCGTCAGCCAGGCCTTCCCTTGCACACACGTGCCTTCTGCTTTAAACACGACCCTGTCTCCTCACCTCTCCCTGCCTTGCCCAGCAGGATCCTGTGTTACCTTCTTATCTCCGTCTGCCTGTCCCTTCCTCCAGGAAGTCCTCCCTGACCTCCTCACCAGTGCCTACAGAGTCCCCACTACTTCTCCTCCCTGGTGACCCTGTTTATAGCTCATTTGTCTGCCTCACCGTGACTGGCTCAGGTCATCAGGCACCCTGGGTCCACTCTGCTCTGACACTTGCTGGCACCATGCCCCCCGGCAGGTTACTGCCCTCTCTGTGTCTCAGTTCTCTCACTGTAAAATGGAATCATCACACCTGCTCCAGGCAGCTGTTTAGAGGTTAAAACGCCCTGAAGATGCTCACCTCCCACATCAGAGTACCTGGGTTCCATACTCAGCCCCTCACTCCGCCTCCCTGCTGGTGCCCAAGGCAGCCATGAGGGCTCAAGTCATTGGGCTCCTGTCAGCCATGGGGAGACCTGGATTGAGTTCCTGGCCCCCAGTTTGGGCGCCAGACTTTATGGGTATTTGGGGAGTGAACTAATAGACGGGTATCTGTCTCTGTCTCTTTCTCTCTCACTCACTTTCTCTGTGTCCCAAATAAGTGATTCTTTTATGTCTGAGGTTCACTTTTAAAAAAACAAACAATCAGAGGCAGGCATTTGGCTTAGTGGTTAAGCTGTTTGGAACACCCTTATCCCGTATCCGAGTGCCTGGGTTCAAATCCCGGCTGCGCCCGCCGTTCCAGCTTCCTACTAACAGGCACTTTGGGAGGGAGAAGTTCGTGGCTCCAGCGGTTGGATCCCTGCCGCCCCCTTGGGAGACTCCGAATGAGTTCCCAGCTCAGCATCAGCCTGGTGCCGCTCTGGTCACTGCAGTTGTTTAAGGAATGAGTCAGTGGGTGGGAGATCGCTTTCTGTCTCTATATATATACCCATCTCTTTGCCTTTCATATCAATAAAATAATAAATTATTTTTAAAATAATACCTACCTCCTAGGGCTGCTTTGAGGACTTAGAAGGTTTTATGAGGGGTAGGCTTTGTGGTGCACCCTTGGGATGCCCGCCTCCCATATCAGAACACCTGTTTGAGTCCCAGCTGCTCTGCTTCTGATCCAGCTCCCTGCTAACGCGCCTGGGAGGGCCACAGAAGATGGCTCCAGTGCTTGGGCCCCTGCACCCATGTGGGAGACACAGATGGAGTTCCAAGCTCTGGGTTTGGACCTGACCCATCCCCGGCTGTTGTGGGCATTTGGGGAGTGAACTAGGAGATGAAAGATCTACCTGTCTTTGTCTTTCTCTCTCTGTGTCATTAAATAAATCAATCTTGTTTTAAAGCCTTTGTGTGTAAACACCAGTGCCTATGTGCATAGTACTCACTCAATAAACATTCCCTAGTATTCATTTCATAAATACGGCTAGAACATAGTAGATTTCAATAAGTATCTGTGGAAATTATGCAGTGCTTCTTAGGTACCCAGCACTGTTCTAAGTGTATTATAAACATTAACTCATTTTATAGATCAGGAAACCGAAACAGAGAATTTAATTAACTTGCCCAAGGTTACAGAGCTAGTAAGCGGCAGAGACGGGATGCAAACCCAGGCAGCCTGGTCCAGCAGCCACGTTTTTAAACGAATGGACAGAAGTGCCCATGTTTAGGGGGAGAGGGGTTTGGAACTTCCTCTATGCCTCCGAGGTGGGTGTAGGAGCCCAAGTACTTGGGTCATCTGCTGTCACCTTCCCAGGTGCATTAGCAGGGAGCTGAATCAGACTTTACCTACAGAAACCTCACGTCCCACTCCTGGCCTCTTTCAGGTCCTGGGGGCTGCTGGTGGCGCGTGACGACGACACACCTAGGGATGTGAGCACGGTCCCTCGGAAGCCAGAGCTGAACTTCGGGGATCCCGCCTGCACCATGTCCCAGGTGCTGTCCAGCCCCCTGCTGGTGGGGGGCCGCACAGTCGGCTTGGCCTCCTGTGAGGAACCCACGAGGGCTGTAGCACCCAGCCCTAGCCTGCCACCCCAGTGTCCTTATTACACCACAGAAGGCTGGGGCGTCCCAGCCCTGATGGCCGCCAGGACAAGCAAGGGGGACTCCAACAGGCTCCAGCAGACCCCCGAGGCTGAGGCCAACACCCACTGCCGCCAGCAGTGCCCTGGCGGGCAGGCCTCCGAACCTCCCGACGACCTTGACTCCTACATTGACTTCTCCCTGGAAAGCCTCAACCAGATGATCCTGGAACTGGACCCCAACTTCCAGCTGCTCCCCCCAGGGCTTGTTGGCTCCCAGGCTGAGCCTGCACAGAACCCCACCTCGAGGAGAAAGAAGGAGGAGCCTGAAGCCTTGGGTAAGGACTGGGGCACAGTGCCAGGAGGGGGGCTTGGGATCAGCCTCATGAGAAAGACGACTCCGTTTCCGGTAGAATCAGAGCTGTTTCCTGTCGGGAGGTGCTGTGCAGCCCTGGGGTGTATACAAGTTCCCCTCACCATCCAGTTCTATCTGGTTCCTGAGTTTGGAAAGTTTTACTTGATTTTTTTTGTGAGAATTTAAAAAAGCAAATAGGAGTTTGTTTCAAAAAGTTCATGGAAAATGGAAGTCAAAGTTAAGTTTATTTTGTTGCAAAAAAAATCATTTGGAAACCTCATGTGCATTTCTTGGAAAATACACATTATCATAATGCAGATTTTGGTGCAAAAATGTTTTGAAATCCATGCATACTTTTTTGGAGTATCTATTTCCATAGCAGGCATTTTTCATGAACTTTCTGAAGACGTCCATGGAAGTTGTGTGTGCAGGACCACGGACACCAGTGAGAGTTCAGAACTGTGGCGTCTCCTCAGGCCCATCCTGAGCCCCTCTGAGCTGGGTGTAGGATTGCCGCCTGGTGTCCCTGTGCCCCACCAGGGCAGGACCTCTCCTGGGAGGCCCCCGCTGGAACCAGTGGGGTTAACACACACAGGATTCAGTCTGTCTAGGGTGGGAGCCCTGTTGTGTTCCCATATTGCTGTGTGGGTAAATATTTAACCACAGGCTCCCTTGCTGGAGGGAGGTGGGGACAGAGGGAACCCTGATTTGAAGCACCTGCCCGTTTCCATGACTTCTGCCACCCTGGCCGGTTTCCAGCCACCCACGGGCTGTCACTGAGCACGGAGTCGGGAAGAGACGCACAGTGACAAGCTGTGGCCCGGTGCTCCCATGACTGCAATAAAGACATGTAAAGTGCACAGATAGTAGAAAAACCGCTGGGAGGTGATGCCTTCTGAGTAGGCTTGGCCTTTGTTTTTAATCTAAGTTTCCTCACTCTAAGTTTATATGATGCAATTTTTAATAACAGCAGAGTTTAGCAACCCGCTGGATAAAATCCTAAACACTGTGCAGTCAGTCAGTACCAGCCACCTCCAGTACAAAGCCACGGCCAACGGACTCTGGAAATCCCTCCACCCAGCCTGAGATTCCTGCAGAGAGTTTCAAGTACACTCTAGGGGAGACAAGCTAGGAGCAGCAGCCCCATTAGACAGGCAGCAAGACTGAGGCCTCCCGGGGTTTAAACAGCAGGGGGTGGAGGGGTGGTTAGGATTAGAGGTAGGACCCATGAGAATGGCGCCCGCATGTTGAGCACTTAGCATATACTAGGAACCTCCTGCCCTCTCAGCCCACCCCCAAGAGGCGAGTATTTTGCCCTCTTTTACAAATGGAAACACGGAGGGGTTGAGTTGGGAGCCAGCCTGGGGTCGGGCCTTACACAAGCAGTTCATTTCACGTCTGTGTGTCTCAGGGCGCTTCCTTGCCTGCAAAACGCACACAGTCAGAAGTCTTGCCTCCAAGGGTGCTGCAGGGCTTGAAGAAACAGCAGTTGCTGGCAGCTCTAAGTTGTTCCAAACGGAGGCTGCTTTTATGGAGCATTCGAATTACACGTAGGGCCAGCCCCAGGGTAGGTCTGGGCTCTGGGTGGAGGCCAGCTCAATGCCCTGGGCTCCCGCTGTCCAACCGGCTCCCCTCCTGCCAGACCTGTTAGAGGTGCTGCCCGTGTCCTGTAGGAGCCTCCCTCCTCCTTCAAGCCGGTCAGGGGCATGTCTCTGCACAGACGGCGGTGGGAGCCTAATTGCTGTTGGCAGGTGCGAGCCAGGGTTTTCCTGTCCGTGCCTCCAGGCATGGGCTCCACACGTTCAAGGCCAGATGGGGCAGGAGCAGCCTCTGTGGAGCCTCCACACGGATAGGGCAGGGGGGTTGGTGCCCGCCAGGCCCTTGCTCCCAGGATGCCCTGCGCACAGCCTGCCACTGTGAGCAGTGCCCACCCCGCTCTGGGAACAGGGAGCACCGCGGGAGCCAATGGTGGCCAAGGGGTCCCAATGCGGCCAAGGGGTTCCAATGGAGACAAGAAGGTCCTCTACGCCATCCTTGGCCATGTCTCAGAGCCCACAGCCTCCCACGTCAGCCCTGCTGGAGCAGCTCCGCCCTGGGAGGGTCCCCCTGTCCTGTGGCTGCTGGGGACGGGCCTTCAGGGGCCCCGGCAGTGTAACCAGGTGCGGGCATGGCCTTGAGCTCTCAGGGCTGGGTCTTCACCACGGAGGACCCCCCCACTCCCGCCACCTTGCAGTCGACTCTCCCAGCTTGAGGGTGTTTGTCTCACCAGCTGCAGGGCCAGCAGGTGCTCACTGCTCCTCTGGTCCTAACTAGCCACACCTAGTGCAGGTCAGGCCTCCAACCCAGGGTTCTGGGCTCTGCAGTCCCCGCCTCCTGCTCGCTGTCCCTGGGCCCCACCCCCTTCTCTATCCTCCCTTTGACCTTCACCCCACCTTGGAACAGGCGCCATTCCTTCCGGCCTAAGCTGTTTGCCAGTCCCCAGGGAAGGGGTTTAACACAGTCTCCGCCCCCCACCCACGCGCCGCTGTCCGCTGGCGTGGCCCGCAGCTGGCGCCAGCACCCAGCCCTGCTCTGACTTGCCCCACAGGCCTGCAAAAGGACTGCGCCTGCCATGGGGCGGGGGCCGCCACCTCCCGGGGCCACATCCACCTCAGGACAGGGCCAGAGGTGACTCACAGCGTCTCCCCCCTCCCCACCCCCCCACACCTCCTCCCGCCCTTCCTGCCCGTCTCTGCCTGCTGCTCCCCAAGCAAGATCTTTGGTGTGTGTTGGGATGACCCAGTGAGTAGGGAGCCCAGAGCTTGACTAGGCCAAGAGACCTTTCCCAAGGCAACCTGGCACCTGCTCCCAGGGCCAGGCCTTGGAATGGGGTCCCGGGAAGCCCCTCCTCATCCTGGGAAAGACCCCTAAAGAGAGTTCAGGACGAGGAGTCGGGTTCCTCCACTCCCAGGCTGTGTGGCACTCGAGAATCCATCAGCCTCTCTGGGCCCGGGTTCCTCTTCTGTTGAATGGGAATTAGCAATGCTTCTTACTTGGTAATGCTGCCAAATGAGCTGCTATGGTTAACATGGCTGGAGTGGAGCTGGTACAGGTACCCGGTAAATACCAGTCTTTGTCTTCTTTTTAAGGTTGATTTATTTATTTTGAAAGTCCAAGTTACAGAGAGAGAGAGAGAGAGAGAGAGAGAGATCTTCCATCTGCTGGTTCACTCTCCAGATGGACAACACTGGGCCAGGCAAAAATCCAGAGCCAGGAGCTTCTTCTGGGTCTCCCATGTAGGTGACAGGGACCAGGGAGCTGGATAGGACGTAGAGTGTCCAGGACATGAACCAGCACCCGTACAGGAGGCCAGCGTCACAGGTGGCGGCTTTACCCGCTATGCCACATCACCAGCCCCAGTACCAGTCTTTCCTGAAGACTGGTGGGCAGTAAACCACCCCCACCCCCTCAGCCTCAGTCTCCTGTCTTGTAAAATCAATGCCTGTCCTGCCTAAGGGCTGTTACGAGGTTCAAAGGCGCGTCTGGGTGTGATGATGTCTATAAACTCTTACAAAAATAGAATTGTGTTCACCATCCTTCCAGAAGGATCCACCCCATTCCAAGACCTCTCCCATCTCAGCCCTAAGTCCGTCTCCACTTGCCCACATCCTCCTATCTAAGCAGGGGGACGCCCACCTTAGCTGGAGGGCATGCGCCACGTGCCAAGTACCAGCCCCAGAAGCAGGCGGGAAGGGAATGCTGTGTCTCAAGGCTCCCTGTGGGCCAGGCACCAGGCTCCATGCTCCGTTCATCGTGTGTTCCATCCTCGCCAAGACCTTGGGAGGTTGGGATTTGAGCCCCACTTCACAGTTAAGGAAACTGGGGCTCAGAGAGGTGTGCAAAGTCCCCCGGCACCCCTGGGCAAAGAGGGGCAAAGCCCAGCCTCGCACCCTGGTTTGTCCCACTGCAGACCCAGGCTGCTCCTCTATCCTCCAGGAGCTACAAACCTGGGTCAGCCCACCAGCCCTGCTCCTCTGATGTCATCCCCCAGCCTCGGCCCTGCCCGGGCAGGTTCAGACAGAAGCAGTAGCCACCAGCAAGACCAGAAGGTAGCCCTACCCAGGAGCAGGCCGGGGCAGGCTGGGGCTCCATGTCAGGACAGAGATGGGGGTGCCTGTGCCAGAGCTCACAGGGTGGGGGAGCCATGGACAGGAGCTGAGGGTGCATGTTGTCACTGATAGCCCCGGCTTCTACCCTGGGAAGCCGGAAGCAGGACTCGCAGCCCCCATCTCCGCAGAAGGAGCCACCAGTTAGCACCCAGCTTCCCCTACCCAGGTGGAGAGGAGGTGTGTCCCTCCTCACCATGGGGAGGGTCACACACCCCCTCTCTCCAGGGAGGGTCTCGGGTTTCCCTGGGGATTCCAGGGGCACTGGCTCGAATCGACAGCCTGGGGCCGTTGGGCAGCACGAGGGTGGCCCAGGCTGGCCCCGGCCTCAGGGAGCTCTCCCTCTAAAGCAGGTTGCTCAGCCTGCCCTGGGCTCCTGCATCCCTACAGACTCAGATTCTGTAGGCCTGGGGCGGAACCTAAGAGTCACCAGCTCCCAGGTGACGTGGGCCATAAATCATCCTGGTGAGGCTCGGCCGAACGTCAGATTCACCCAGGAAACCAAAAACATAAGCAGACAAACAGACCTGAGGCCTGGGGCCCCTCGGAGAGTCTGATTTAATTAGCATGGGTGCAGCCAGGCACTGGGACTTTTCAAAGCCCGGGGCTTGAGGTTTCCTGCCTTCATCACCTTACACATAGCTACTCACACACATCCTGAGCGACAGGCGTCCATCACTGTGTGCCAGTTCGTCTCATCTCACCCTTACCGTAGCACTGGTAGCTGGGAAGAGCGGCCCACTTCAGACGTGAAAACTCAGGCTGTGTGTGGGCAAGTCTCTTGGTTAAACTCTCTCAGACAGAAACAGGTCTCAACCCCAAGTGTGTCTGATCCCCAGGACGCCACAGCCTCTCCCACCCGAGGGAAGACGTCGCAGGCAGGGCGACTCTGGAACCGGGCCCTGAAGGTGGATTGGGTGCGAGCCCTGCCCGTCAAGGAGCTTCTCCTCTCCTGGCCTGTTTCCTCACCCGTGCAAAAGAAAGAGGGGAGCAGGTGGACCCCGAGAACCCGCACAGGTTCTGTTGTGGGAGTCCAGGCTCTGGGTCTCACCAGCTCTCTGCCTCTGTCTCCAAAGATATAAAGTACATCGAAGTGACTTCCACCAGATCAAGGTGCCACAACGTTCCGCAGCGCTGCTCCAGCCCGTCCGCCACCACGCCCTCCGGCTCCCCCCGCACCGGCGGCCTCCTCCTCTCCAGAGAGCTCCCCCGGGAGACCCGCAGCAGCAGCGAGAGCCTCATCTTCTCTGGGAGCCAGGGCAGGGGCCACACGTGCCCCCTTCCTCCCTCTGGGGGTCCCTCCGCTCGCGCCCCAGCCTCCCCCAGCGTCTCCATCCCTTGCACGGGGAGCAAGGCCTCAGGACCCCCCGGCTCTGGCTCCCCACTGACGGCTTCCCCAGGCCTGGAGAAGGGGCTGAGGGCCCCAGCCGTGGGTCGCCACCTCCCGGGGCCACATCCACCTCAGGACAGGGCCGGAGGTGACTCACGGGGCAGCAGGATCTCCGTGCTGTCGACCAGCCCAGCGCCCGATGTCAGCTGTATATTTGGAAGGTAAGGTTCTAGAACCTCCACCTGGCCTCCACACACACACACACACACATGCACACGCACACGCACACACATGCACATGCATGCACACATCCTAAAACCAAAGAAGGGGGCCCTGGTGTTCCTGAGCGGAAGCTGGAAGCACATCAGACGAGAGAGGGAATGCCCTTTGATGCAGACACAGCCGTTGGCTCTCACGCTGTCCTTATGCATCTAGAGAACACTCCACACTCCCAGAGTCTCCACTGCGCCTGCCTCTTGGAAGAGAGCCGCTGCCTCTGAGGCCGTCCTCCATGCTCTCCAGCCCGGCCCGATTCCTCTTGTGGAAGGGTTTTCAAAAACGCAAAGCACAAGGATGCAGATAAAACGGGGTGGGGGGGGGGTGCCCGAGATGAATCATCTAGGAACGAAAATCCTCCTTCCTCTTTGTCGCTCGCAAAACCTAGCGGGAGGGAGGCCGGCCTGCCTGGGTGTTGTTCATGGCGGCCCCAGCTCAGCAGGTGCAGGACTCTCCATGCTGCCCGGGGAGGACCAAACCACCACTCCAACACCAAAGCCACAGGCCGAGGCAAGCCCTGGCACAGCCACCAAGGATTCCTCAGCTGTGCCCACTGGCATGGGGCTCTGGGCTCGGGGGAAGGCTGGCTTGATCCAGAGCTGGCCGCCACCTCCTCCTCCAGCTGGGGGTTCCTGCAGCTGTAGCCGGGTCTTCAGGACTCTTGGGGGTGATGATCACTGGGGGTCCTGGTGGGACAGTCCTGTCAGCCCTGTCTGGCTGGGAAGGCAGAGGGAATTGGGCCAGGCCAAGCCCACGTGGCTGCAGGGGTCGGCCCATTGATTCCCTGCAGTCCAGGGAGTCCCTCTCCCTCAGTAGCTCAGGGATCAAGTGAGCATGCCTGCCCTTGGCTCTGACCTGGGACAGAGGTGATATAATGCTCCATTTGGCTAAAGCCTTGGGCAAACTAGATCACTGTATTCCAGAACCTGACCCTGGCCCCTGCGTCCCCACCCCAGTGCCCTAACACCCTGTCCGGGGCTCTCTTCCTCTGCAGCAGCCAGTCCCTCCTCCGCTCCAGCCTCTCCAGCCCTCAGTCACCCTCTAGGTCTTGGGAGAGCCCAGCCAGCTCCTCCTCCAGCCTCCACAGCCTTGGCCCTGGGTCAAGTGACTCGCAGGGCACCAGCAACCCCTCCCTGAACGTGGGCCAGCCCAGAACAGCCTGCTCCCCACTTCTGGCCGAAGAGCACGCCAGCAGCTGCCCCCCATCCACCACCAACTCCATGATGGACATACCCATCGTGCTCATCAACGGCTGCCCAGAACCAGGCTCTCCCCCACCTCAGCGGACACCAGGACACCAGCCCGGAGCTGCCCCTCCCAGCCACCCCTGCCAGGCCAGCAAGAGCCACAGCCAGACCCTGCCGGATGCCCCCACCACCACGTCCCTAGAGGGTATGTTGTAAACCGATGCCTCCAGCTTTGCAAGGTTGGACCAGGAGGCAAATAGACAAAGCACCAGGCAGCACATGGACTGAGTCCCTGCAGTGGGCCTGGCCCAAGCCCTGTAGCAGACTGCATGGATACATTGATGGGTGTAGAAAGAGAGACAAAGCCAAGAATCTCACGGAGCAGGGAAGGACATGGGTCAAGTAGTGTCACAGGGCCACCAAGGAAGAGTGATTCTTTGAGTCTGGAGAACAGAGGCAGTGACATTCAAGCTGGATCTGGAAAGTGGATGGGAAATGTGTGGGCAGAGAAGGGGAGCAAGGGCCTTGTCAGCAGGGGAGAGAGGGCGTTCCCAGGGGAAATGTGTGGAAACCCATGGCACGCTTAGGAAAACCTGGGCTGCTGGGTGCAGGGTCAGGTCGCAGATCGTAACTGGGAGCCAGCCCGTGGAAGGCCTTGAATGCCAAGCTAAAAAGTGTTTGCCTTTTAGGCAACAGGGGCCATCGGTGAGTCTCAAACAGGGGCGAGGTGGGGTCAGAGGCGCTGCAGTAGATGGGTGTCAGGGGCATGCCCCAGGGTGAGGCAGTGGAGGTGGAGGAGAGAGGACGGTACCAGGTGCCCCAGGGATGTCAAAGCAGTGGGTCTCATGACTAACCCAAGCAGAGCCAGGGAGAGCGTCAGTCCTCACGCTGCCATCTGGGGCTGAGGAGAGCACGGAGGGGCAGACAGGGAAGGGAGACAATGCATTCCAACCCCTAGGGCTGAAAACCACAAAGCAGCCAACACCCTCCTCTCCCAGCCTGTGACTACAGGCGTCCAGAAAGAACACCCTGCACCGGAACCACAGCAGTACACACTGGAGCCAAGCCTCAGCCCTCCCTGGGCGCACACCTCCCAGAGCAGAGCCTCCCCGGGACGTGGACCTGGCCCCTCGCTCTCTCACTCTCTCAGCCTCTGTCCCATAACCAGGCTTCCCCAGGTGACTCCTGGGATGTGGAATCACTCTAGCCCATGCTCACCCCCACTCCCACATCAGTGCAAGGGGAAGCATCTTTGAGCCTGCTCTGGTCACTTTCTTAGGAGGACAATCCTTTGCAGATTTGTTGTTGTTGTTAAGATTTATTATTTATTTGAGAGAGAGAGAGAGAGAGAGAGAGAGAGGTTTTCCATCTGCTGGTTCATTCCCCAGATGGCTACAACAGCCTGAGCCGGACTGATCCGAAGCCAGGAGCCAGGCATTTCTTCCGGGTCTCCCACTCGGGTGCAGGAGTCCAAGCATTTGGGCCATCTTTTACTACTTTCCCAGGCCATAAGCAGGGAGTCAGATTGGAAGTGGAGCAGCGGGATATGAACCCGTGCCCATTTGGATGCTGGCGTTGCAGGCGCGGCTTAACCCAGAACGCCACAGTGCTGGACCTCACAGATATCAGTACAATTCTTACAGTGAGTTACCCTAAACTGCTAAGATGCTGACACGAGGCCCGCCACTCTTTATCCCAAGGACCCAGGAAAAGGGGCATGATGTCGTCTCCAAGGGCACACTGACGTAGCTCGGCAACATTCCCTTCATGCTTTGGTGAGGCCCCAGTCGTCACTGTCGTACCTGGCATCTTATCAATTCCTGCAGAGTAGTCTCGAAGCAAGGTGTATTTTGATCTCATGGCCAGGCCACGGGGTCCCCTCGGGACTTCGGGAGCTAACACCTGTCCCAAAGTAGGTCCAGACCCTGAACAAGGCTTCCTTTCCTTCCCCTTTTCTTCTTTTCCCTCCCTCCCTTCCTTCCTTCCTTCCTTCCTTCCTTCCTTCCTTCCTTCCTTCCTTCCTTCCTTCCTTCCTTCCTCCTTTCATAGAGTTACAGACAGTGAGAGGGAGAGACAGATCTTCCATCCGCTGGTTCACTCTCCAAGTAGCCACAATGGCTGGAGCTGCGCTGATCCGAAGCCAGGGGCCAGGAGCTTCTTCCTGGTCTCTCACGTGGGTGCAGGGGCCCAAGCACCCGGGTCATCTTCCACTGCTTTCCCAGGTCACAGCAGAGAGCTGGATGGGAAGAAGAGCAGCTGGGACTAGAACCGGCGCCCATACGGGATGCCGGCGCTGCAGGCAGAGGATTAACCTCTTTTCCTCTTCTAAACCCAGTACGCCCCTGAGGGCCTCTCAGGATTCTGAAGGGGCAGGCGAGTGAGAGGTCAAGCCCTGTGTCTGGAGAATCCCTTATTATTCCTACTTCAGTCCCCACCGCTTCTCACTAAAAGGGGGTTTTATTTGTTTGCTTTTGGTTCATTTCCAAGGATACAAGGGGACTCCCAAGTCCCAGATGCCCCAAGCCCTGGAATCCTTTGGTTTGGTTTGCCTGTCTGCAGAGAGGCGGGCTGGGGCAGGGAGGGTGGGTTGAATGGAACCTCAGGGCCGAGGAGCAGGGAAGCCCTCTCTGATAGACATCTCTGAGCAGCCCTTCCGTCTCCAGGCCCCACTAGGGACACGCAGCCCACCATGAAATTCGTGATGGACACATCTAAGTACTGGTTCAAGCCAAGCATCACCCGGGAACAAGGTAAGGCCTGGGCCGTGCACTGTGCATCAGGCGGGCAGGGCCCTGGGTCACAGGAGAGGAGGCCCAGGAAGCGGGGAGGCCTGCTGACCTCATGGCGCTTGAGACGGTGGGAACCGTGGCAAGAGCATCGTGGCAGGGGTTAGGCCAAAGAGGGGACTTCCCGAGGGCAAAGGCTGACCTGAACACCTGCTCTCTGAAGATCCCATGGGGCTGGGGACAGAGCGGTCCAGGTGGGCCGCACCTGATTCTAACACCAGGTCTATTCCAGCCATCGAGCTGCTGAGGAGGGCGGAGCCAGGAGCTTTCATCATAAGGGACAGCTCTTCATACCGGGGCTCCTTCGGCCTTGCCTTGAGGGTGCACGAGGCGCCCGCATCTGCCCAGAACCCATCAGGTACGCCGCCGGATCTGTGCTCAGCCTCAGATGGGGCGCCTTTGAGGCCTGGTTCTGATGCCATCTTTCAAGGTGACCTTGGACCAGTCCTGCTAAGACTTCTGGGAGGAGGGTCCACCTCCACACTCTCCCAGCTGCCCTCCGCCACCAAGGCCACAGCAACGCTTAGCCAATGCTGCCTTCCAGGGTCCCCCAAACCCCTGCTCCACCCTCACGGTGGGAGGAGGAGGAGGATGGTCCCAGCCCCTCTCTGGGCTGCTCTCTTCCGAGTGCCCACTGCTGCCCAGACCAGATCTATCCCCAGGAATCTCAGTGTGGTAATAAAATGCAGGCGTGCCCAGGCCAGCTTATTACCAGCTGATAACTTATCAGCTGTGAGCAACAGCTCATCATACGTGTGATAGCGTGTCTGTGTGTGTGTGAGAGAGAGAGAGCGAGCAAGCGAGAGAGAGTGATGGCTGATCACATGGTTTCCTGGGAATGCACATGGTCATTCAGTAACTGCACGTGACTCGGGGCATCCCCGAGCACCTGCCACGCAGAGGAACCAGACACAGCCGCCCCTTGTCAGAGAGATAGACAAAAACAGACAATTACAGTACAAGGTCCCTGGGTCCTGGCCCTGCACCTAAGCCCCATGATTTCACCCTCACTGGACAGAGCTGAGGCTCTGAGCATTAATGACCCAGAGCAATTAAGTGATAGAGCAAAGACAAGAAACCCCAAACTTGTGTCCTTTTTCAAAAAAAGCATTTATTTGAAAGGCAGCGAGAGAGACAGAGAGCTTCCCTCCCCATAGGACTGTGACAGCTGGGGCTGGGCCAGGCCAGAGCCAGGAGCCAGGAGCTCTCTCCAGGTCCCCCATGGGATTGTTGGACCCAGAGCAGACGTGCTGGCCGCGTGTGTATGGGAGGCCTTGAAAACAGGGGCCCGGCCTGAGGTTCCGCTCAGGGATGGGGGAAGGACAAGGTGACGCGCAGATGGGCGCAGGGCAGTGGTCAGGGTCTGGAGCTCTCCTGCTGTGACCCTTCCCCCCTCCTCTGTCCAGGTGAGGACAGCAGTGACCTTATCCGGCACTTCCTCATCGAGTCCTCTGCCAAAGGGGTGCATCTCAAAGGAGCGGACGAGGAGCCCTACTTCGGTGAGCCTCCCCAGACCCCTGCCCAAGGGGGCCAAGGGCTGTGAGGCTGGGCCGGGGAGGCGGCACTCACGCAGGGTTGCCCGTTCTCTGCAGGTAGCCTGTCGGCGTTCGTGTGCCAGCATTCCATCATGGCCCTGGCGCTGCCTTGCAGACTCGCCATCCCTCAGAGAGGTGGGCCTGGGCCCAGGGCGGCAACGCGGGGGTTCTCACCAGGCAGTCTGCCCCGGGTCACTTCTCCTTGCATGCAGATTGATTCAGGGTCAGGGTTAAAAGTGCCTCTCCCCTTCCTCGCTGTGAGCATTTGAGAATGTTAAACTTTCTGAGCCTCACTTTTCTCATCTGTGAAATGGGTGGGATGCTGGTCACACCGCCTTGGAGGATGAATGTGCAGCTTAAGTGAGGCCTCTCAGGCCAGGCTCAGCCCAGTGCCTGGTGCAGAAGACATGTTTGGTAAACAGTAGCTTCCTTTTTTTTTTTTTTTTTTAGATTTATTTACTTATTTGAAAGGTAGAGATACAGAGAAAATGAGAGAGAGATGGATCTTCCATCTGCTGGTTCACTCTCCAAATGGGCAAACCAGCTGAGGCTGGGCCAAGCGGAAGCCAGGAGCCTGGAGCTTCTTCCAGGTCTCCCACGTGGGTGGTGGGGGCCCAAGGACTTGGGCCATTTTCCACTGCTTTCCCAGGCACGTTAACAGGGAGCTGGATTGGAAGTGGAGCAGCTGGGACTCAAACCCACGCTCACATGAAATGCTGGCACTGCAGGCGGCGGCTTAACCTACCACACCACAGCACCGGCCCCAGCAGTGGCCTTGTTTGAGAGGACAAAAGAGCCCAAAGCACACAGCGTGGAGAATGTCTCGCTCCGACATTCGTGGAGCACCCCCTCATTGTCCCCCCCCAGAGCTGGTGCCATTTTGCAGAAAAGAACATGAGGGTCCTGGGTGTTAAGTAAGCTGCGCAGAGAACCCTGGGCTCAGGCCTTGAACCCACAGCTGGAGGGGCCATCCCAGCACTCAGCTGCCACACCCCAGCCCAGGGGTGCACAGGAGAAGGGGCGTTTCCTGGGTAGCCATGGAGACAGCCTCCCCACCCTCTGTGAGGAAGTGGGGGTCAGGATGGGCTCCAGGAGAAGTGAGGAGCCTGTGAGGACAGGCCCTGGCAGCAGTGTGGGGCCGAGGGGTGCAGGGGGCACAGGCTTGCCAGAGGAGGTCCCCCTCCCCCGCCTCCTTCCGGCACTTCCCAGGGGAGGGGCTGGAGGTGGGAGTTGTTCGAAGGGATGTGTGAGGCCTGTTCCTCTGAGAAGGGGCCCTTCACTGAACCCCCTCCCCCTCGGGCGTCTCTCTCTCTGCCTCTGCTCAGAGCTGGGAGGCACCGACAGGGGCTCGGACCCCTCCACGGACAGCCCGGCCTCCTGCCTGAAGAAATCTGCAGGTGAGTGGGACAGGGAAGCAGGGGGGTAGGGGGCTCACCTTCCTGTGTCTGCTCCTCCCCCCAGGGCCTGCAGGTGACCTGGGGCCCCTCCCAGGCTGCCTTTCTGAGGCTTTAACAAGGCCCCTCTCCCCTGCAGCCTGGAGACCAGGAGATGAGAGGCTGCAGGCATGGGGCCAGCAGGGAAAGGGGGCGGAGGGGAGCAGGGGACGGCTGGCGGGGCTTGAACCCATCCTGCACCTGCATGGGCACACAGACACATGCTGGGGTCTCTCTGGGTCAGAGATGCTTGCCCTGCGGGCGGCCTCTGTGGGTGTCGGGTCTGAGTTGGGGATCTCAACAGAGAAAGGTCCCTCCCCTGCTTCCAGAGGGCCGGGGACAGATCAGCACTTGCCTAAGTGACAGTTCCCACTCCCAGTTCCCACTCGGTGCCCCTGGGGACCCAGGCGTTGCTCCCCCCACTTCTCTTTCTGTTCACAGCAAAGAACCAGGACCCATGGGAGGGGCTGTGGGGGAGGGGAAGGCAGAGGTCAGGACAGAAGACAGTTTCCTGGGTGTCCCTACACTTGGGATGGCACTCCCTCCCTACAGCACCCTAGAAAGCCAAGGACAACAGTCGCTGCCCAAGTCCCGTGGGAGAGGCCGCAGACTGCGGTCACCTGTGTCCTTGCACCTGTCTGGTGGCTGGAAGAGGAGCCCTGAGGAAGAGTCACCCGTCCCCCAGCTCTGGGCAGACCTGGGCCTGGGTGATCCCCAGGACCCTGGCAGCAGCCCAGCACAATGTCTGTGCCCCACAGGCTGCCACGTCCTGTACCTGAGCTCCGTGAGCGTGGAGACCCTGAGCGGAGCCCTGGCCGTGCAGAAGGCCATCTCAACCACCTTGGAGAGGGACGTCCTGCCCACGCCCACTGTGGTCCACTTCAGAGTCACGGAACAGGGCATCACCCTGACGGACATTCAGAGGAAGTAAGGGCCTTCCCGTGCTGGGGGCTGGGGGCTGGGAGAGCAGGTCCATGACGAAGGAGAGTAACCAGCACCCTGGACCTCAGGCCATGGCTCCAGCAAGGCCCCTGCCCTCTGGGGGCCTCACTCCAGTGACTCCCAGCCACAGCCACCCTTCGTCACCACAGTGAAGGTGGTCACTGGGGCTGGCCTAAGTCTGCAGTGTCCATGGGCGCCGGCTGGCCCCAGGACATGGAGTGGAAAGAGGTTGTTCCTTCCCCAGGCTCAGGGAGCCAGAGCTGGGCAGGGCACTTCCTGGCCAAGATGGAGCTTCCATCCTCAGAATGCACTCCAAGGGGAAATGGTGGGGATGCCCTCCCCGGGAGGAGTCAGGGGCCAGCCTGGGGTCAGCGGGGGGAGAGGTCACCAGGAGACTCCCCGGGGACAGGGCACCTGGGCTACAGGGGGCCCGGAGATGCAGGAAGCAGGACAGGGCCCCGGCCCAGGCTCTCACCATCCTCCCCTGTCTGCCCGCCTCCCCCCAGGGTGTTTTTCCGACGCCACTACGCCCTCAGCACCCTCCGCTTCTGTGGCATGGACCCCGAGCAACGGAAGTAAGTTCAAGGCTGGGCCAGAGTAAGACGGCCACCCAGCTGCCCCGCCGACTCCTGGCCCGAGGTGGCAGAGACGGCCTGTGAACCCCATGGGCTCTGGGGTGGCTGACGCGGGGTAGTGGGCGTGGCAGCAGTGGGGATGCCCATCCAGGGTCACGGGGGTGGAGCAAAGCCCAGGACTCACACTGGCCCGTTCTGTCCACACAGGTGGCACAAGTACTGCAAGCCCTCCTGGTAAGGCTTCCCATCTGCTGTCGCCCACTGTAAGAGGGGTTCCTGGGGTGAGGCCCCAGACTTCCAGAGCTCCCAGTCTGATGGGGGAGACCCTGCCCCTTCCCTCAGACAGCCTGCAGTCCCCAGTGTTCTGCAAGAGGCACAGGACGCCTGCCTCAGGTGGGGGTGACAACATCATGCCCTCAGGGAGCCACCACCGGAAATGGAGCTCAGGGTCTCCCAGTCTGATGGGGGAGACACCTCCTTCCCTAGGAGAGCCCCCGAGACCCTGAGTCGGGGAGCCCATTGGCTGCGGGAGACCAAGGAGTGTTGTGGTATGGGTTGCCCCGCCCCCACCTCATTACTGATACCTCCCAGGCTGCCCCCTCACGCAGACCACCCTCTGTCCCCAGGATGTTTGGATTTGTGGCCAAGAGCCAGACAGAGCTGCAGGAGAACGTGTGCCACCTCTTCGCGGAGTACGATGCGGCCCAGCCAGCCTCCCGGGTCATCAGCCTGGTGACTGCTCTGCTGCAGGACACAGAACGGATGTAGGAGGCGGGGCTGCCTGTGCGCCTTCCCAGACATCCCAGCCCAGTAGCCCGCCCCCACCCACACAGGGGCTCGTGGGTTCGCTGGCAGGCCCGGCTTTCGCACTGCAGGACAGCATGGGGTTGAAAGCCTTGAACTTGCCACAGTCTTTCCCTGGTGCCCTCCGGCCTTCAGTGTCCTCAACCACAAGAAGAGGCCAGTAGACAGCTGGGTTAGTGGTCTCCTCATCCCTCCAGAGTCCTGAAGCTCACACACAGCCGAGGACCTTCGGCTCCCTGCAGCCTGGGCACCACTGACAAAGCAGGCTGAGCTGGTTCCGTGCCCCCCGTGCTGTGGCACCCAGCCGGAGCTGGCTCGGGACCCCGCGGGGCATGCGAGGGTGGAGCACGGAGTCTACTTCTCTCTGCAGCTCTTCCTCCTCCACTTTCCTGATAACTTGTTGAACCCACCTGCCCAGGATTCTGCAAGCCAGCATGGTCGCCCCGTGGTCAGAGAAGATGCCACTATCCTCACATTCTTGGTGTCTAGTCCCGAGTCCCCTTGTAAATGAGTATCAGCCCTATCTGTTCTTTCACTTCTTCAGTAAACAGACACCCCATCGCTGGTGTCACAGCTGCCCAAGCGTTGTTTGGATAACTCTCATCTGAGGAATAAGGGCACAGAGGCCCCATCCCCTAAAGCAGATAGAAGGACCAACACTCTGTGGTTCTGCCTCAACCCCAGGCTTGCTGAGTCCCCAACCCCAAAATACACACACACACAGAGACAGAGAGAGAGAGCCCTTTTACAGCCATATGATGTCAGCTGTTCTCACAGCCACAGGGGGGCAGCAGAGAGTCAAGAATACCAAAAGGCTTAGCGATCCTGGGCAGCGTTCCCTTCCCGCCTCCAGCCCAGCCCAGCCCCCAGAGGCTGGACTTTGTCTGGCAGGCCAGGGTCCCACGGAAGCCACGCCACGCTGGTGGATGGGGAGGCTAGGTGGAAAGACACCTTAGCTGCTCTCTGAGGAGCGAGGGTCTGCCCAACCCAGCTGCCAGCCCTCAGAGACCCAGGTCTTCAGCCAAGGCGGGGCCTGGACGGTTATGATTTCAATCCAGGAAACCGAAGCCCACTGGAGCAGCCCTGGGCTGGCGGGAGGGGCTCAGAGCAGCTGGCTCAGTTCTCCCTCAGAGGCCACAGAATGGCATGAGGTTCTCCAGGTCACGGTCACAGTCACAGTGTGCAGACGGCCGGGGTCGCCCACATAGTCCCGGGTGCCTGTGCCGCAGCCATCGTGAAAAACAAAGTGTCTGGTTCCCAGACTCTCGGAGCTGGCCCCGGGGAAGGCTGCGTCTCAGAGAAAGGCCAGGGCGCCACCTTCCCTCCAACACCCTGGCCACCTCACAGGCCACCGCCACACCCCTGTGTCCCCACACACAGCCTGCACTCCCGTTTTCCTTACTTTCACTATGCCGGGAAAACAAAGGTGGAGATGTCCATGCCCAGGCCTGGGGTGAGCATGCGTGGCACCCCTGGTGGGTTCCAAGCTCTCGCCCAGCCTCAAAGCCGGGGAAACGAGCAGCCCAAGGAAGTCTTGCACCAAGGTGACCCCCGAGAGCCACCAGCCTCCACAATGGCCCCTTCATCCCAGCCTGGGCCTGGCAGGCTTCCTTGTCCCCTCTGGTCCCAGACTTGTCCCCGCTGCCCCCTCCGGACAGCGCCCAGGGACAGCAGTGCCCCGAGGGCCTGTGAGGGCCCCTTCGAAGGCTCGACCTATCACAAGGCAGGCAGACCACGCGCAGGGTGATCGTGTGGGCCACCCTTGCCCCAGTTCCTCTCTCCCCCAGGAAGGTTGGCAGACTTGCCTCGCAGAGCCCAGCAGCCAGCCCAGCAGGGGGCAGGAGGGCTGCAGGGCAGAGAGGGGGAGGGCAGAGAGGTCACCAGGCCAGGAGCCAGGAACGGGGAAGGGTCTTTGCACCCACACAGGGACACCCCAGAGGTTTTCTCTCCAGAAGGTTCCAAGCCTTGATGCCCATGGCCCTCAGTCCTCCTAGCTGATCCCCCACCGTGTCCGCTCCCTGGTCCTTCCCACCCTCCCATCACTGTCTCCCCCTTCACACAGGTGCACCACCCACCTGCCTGCCCCGCTCCCTCCACCCCTCCCTATCCCTCATCATCCTCTCCACCCACCCCCCAAGCCCGTCCTCTCCTCTTCACAGGAAAGCCTCCTTTGCTCTTATTCCCTTTCTTTTTTTTTTTTTTTTAAGATTTATGTTATTTATTTGAAAGTCAGAGTTACACAGAGAGCGAAGAGGCAGAGAGAGAGAGAGAGAGAGGTCTTCCATCTGTTGGTTAACTCCCCATATGGCCGCAACGGCTGGAGCTGTGCCGATCCGAAGCCAGGAGCTTCTTCCGGGCCTCCCACATGGGTGCAGGGGCCCAAGGACTTGGGCCATCTTCTGCTGCTTTCCCAGGCCATAGCAGAGAGCTGGATCGGAAGAGGAGCAGCCAGGACTAGAACCGGCATCCATATGGGATGCTGGCACCTCAGGCCAGGGCTTTAACCCACTGCACCACAGCACCGGCCCCTCTTATTCCCTTTCTAAAATTGTCTTGCATTGGATAAGCGGAAAGAGAGACAGCACTCCCATCTGCTGGTTCACTCCCCAAATGCCCCAGCTGGACTGGACTGGGCTGAGACTGAAGCTGGGGACCAGGAACTCAATCCAGATCTCCCATAGGGCTACTTGAGCCAGCCCATCACCTCCCGGGTGCCCATTGGCAGGACTCAGCAGCTGGGGGCAGTTACCCAGAGACCACAAGAGGAGATGTGGGCATCTTGCAGCTAGGCCCAACGCCCATCCACCGCCTGCTCTTTTCCCACTTAATCCCTTCACCTCTGTCCCTGGAGGCTGCATTCACAGCCATGTCCAGCAGTGCCCCTACATTGCCAGCCATTTTTCAAACCTGGGATTCCCACACCCCCTAAACCCCACCTCTCTCTGCTATAAAGCGACCTTCCTAGAAACTGAAGCCTCCCAGTCCCCCCACTTGACTGCCCCCACACACACATACAGAGGGGCTCAGGGCCCCCCAGGGGCCAAGACTGCTGACCTCTGCTGTTTCACCTTTGCCTCTGTGCTATGCAATGGCCAGGGCTGAGAACCCGGGCAGGGGTGAGGCTTCCGGCCCTGAGGCTGACGCCTGATTCACGCAACTCCTGTTTTCTGGCTGCGGGCTTTGCTCCCGGGAACAGGAAAACAGATCGATGGGACAGCGCTTCAGCAGGGGTTTGTAAGTGCCATGCAGGGCAGGGGGGAAGAGAAGACTGGGGAAGACAGACTTGACCCACGTGGAGGGGCGCGGGCGATGTGAGCCAGGCGTGGGCGTCGGTGTCGGCTCTTCCAGGCAGGCAAGGGAGGGAGAAGCCGGCTTCCCTGGGGGAGGCACGTTAGCGCTTTGATGCCATTTGACAGTTTAGAAACTGAGGCTTGGAGGCCGGCGCCGTGGCTCAACAGGCTAATCCTCCGCCTAGCGGCGCCGGCACACCGGGTTCTAGTCCCGGTTGGGGCGCCGGATTCTGTCCCGGTTGCCCCTCTTCCAGGCCAGCTCTCTGCTATGGCCAGGGAGTGCAGTGGAGGATGGCCCAGGTGCTTGGGAGACCAGGAAAAGCACCTGGATCCTGGCTCCTGCCATCGGATCAGCGCGATGCAGCGGCAGCCATTGGAGGGTGAACCAACGGCAAAGGAAGACCTCTGTCTCTCTCTCTCACTGTCCACTCTGCCTGTCAAAAATAAAAAAATAAAAAAAAATTAAAAAAAAAAAAGAAAGAAACTGAGGCTTGGAGGGCTGATTTGCCCACACGCACCACGCCAATAAGTGGCAGAGAGACAGGAATTCAAATCCATGCCCGCCCCCCTGTCCCAGCGTTCCCAGACAAGCATGACGAGGTGCAGCACCATCCATGTGGCTAAAGTATAGGGCACCAGGGGAGCGGGTGAGGGAGGAGGCGGAGAGAGGTGAGGAGCCCCGAGGACCCTCAGGAGACTTGGGGTAGGGAGGGGACGGATTCAGCCTGGTGTTAAGACACTCCCATCCCACAGAGGTGAGTGCCTGCGTTCAGTACCTGGCTTTGGTTGACTCCAGCTTCCTGCTAATGTGGACCATGGGAGGCAGGGATGACGGCTCCAATAATCGGGATTCTGCCTCCCCCATGGGAGACCTGGGTTGATGCTCCTGGCTTCAGCATCCCTGGTCATGGCGGGAATTTGCAGTGTGAACCAGCAGATGGGAGCACTCATGCTCGCTCGCTCTCTCATTCTGTCTCTCCCTCTCATAAATGAATTAATTAAAATGTTAAAAAATAATAAACAGAGTGTGAGGTGCCAAGCTGAGAACCTCTAGGGAGTAAATAATTGAATGATTCAGGGACTGAATGAAGGAGGTTGGACACAGGACCACTGTGTACAGTTGCGCAGGATGTGTGTTGCACAATTGTATATTGCACTCTGCTTTGGCTTCACCCCGTAAGTAATGGGGTGACACAGGGGGTCTGAAGAGTACGTGGGCAGATCTGGGCTGTAGAAACCTGGCTGTGGGGGCAGGCAGGACGTGGGATGGGGACCGGGGCTGGGAGAGATGAAGAAGTGTGACGACTTGGGGTTCAGATCAGGAAAGGGGTAAGAGCCTGCGAAGAGGGACGTGCACCCCAAGTCAGGCTGGGGCAGGGGTCTGGGCCCCTGTCCTCCCTGACCTTTGCTTCCCCAGCCTTCTCAGCACCGTACATCGGGCGGCTGAGACAGGCTCGCAGCTCTAGCGGTCGGTTAGTTCTGCTGAGTTCTCTCTTCTGACACCAGCTTTAACTCTCTCCACAATGCTCTGCCTCACAGCAATCGGAGGGGGTGCTTCAGCCCACAGCCCCCTTCCCCACCCCACCCGCAGCCAGGCTGGCGCCCCCAGCCCCCAGAAGAAACCCTCGCCCTGGACTCTGCCCTCCCAGAGACAGCTGGGGCTTGTTTTGTAACTCTCTTTCCTGGAAGGCACCTCAGCCGTTCACCTCCCCCCAGCCGGATCCAGCCAAGAGGGGTGAGTGGAGCTGGGCTTGGAGCAGCCCTGGGAGCAGGCAGACAAAGCAGGGGAGGGAGCCAGAGCGGAACGAGAGGTGGGAGGAGGGAGAATGACACGCACTTGCTCGTTCACGCAGTCAACAAAAGTGTGCGAAGCTCCCCTGTGATCCGTGCAGAATTAGGCAGACAGGGGTTGGGGAGGAGGTGGGGGGCGGGGTCCACATGTGCCCCCGCCCCGGGAAGGGATGTTGTCTCCTCCCCGGCATTCAGATTTGACACCCTGTGAACACAAAAATGGGCCACGTCCTTAGCTCACCCCACTGCCACCCACGCACGCGCGCGCGCACACACACACACACACACACTTCCCTCAGGAATCAGACGCCTGGGCAGTCAGGCAGATGTGGGGGCAGGGCCCCCTGCCACTGACCGTGCCCGTGGTTTGGGGCATGTCGCCTCTCTGGGCATTGAGACACTGACCGCACAAAGCTGAGGCTGTGCAAAGCCCAAAACGCGGACTAGACACGAGTGTCCTTCCTGGGCCACCAAGCGCCACACACACGTTCCTTAGCAGAA